AAAAAAAAAAAAAAAAAGAACAACAGTTAAGGTAGGTAACAGCATTTAGAAACAACACCAAATTGCAAACAAACTCTCCATATATAATTCAATTTTTCTGAAACATCCCCAGAAAATCATAAACAAGAGAAATTAAAGCATTGTTTGGAGATAATTATTAAGTCAAGTTTGCTTAATGCAGGCTGCGTTTAGCATTTACTATGTATATCATCAAATTACTGCTATAGTTTTTGAAGCTTAATTCATCTTAACCTCGAGGATGTATATCTTCACTCATTGAGCCCTTCAGTCTTCACCTGCTGACTTCCCATCTGCTTCCTTACTCTCATTCACCTTTAAAGAGCTAGGCATTAGGCTTCTGCTGTCAGCATAAATGCTGCTTAATTTCCTTGTCTTAACTTTCTTCTTAATAGGGCCAGATGAATATTCCTCATCATCTTCACGCTCGTCCTGGTAACCGCCGCAGCCTTTAGGACAAGCAAGTCTGGGTGATCCTACCATCAAGTTATCGGTCCCTTCCTTCCAACTACCACCACCAGTCCTCATGGTGGTTTCAGCTCCTTCATGCTTGCTATTCCCCCGAAATATCCTGTTTGCATCACCTGAGTAACAAATTTAAAGGAAACAAGCCATGAAAGTTTCTGTCCTGGATCAAATGTGAAAGGGGAAACGACAATGGCAGCTCAATATTACATGAAAATGGTCTTAAAAGACACTTTGTGCAAGCGATTGTATAATATCCTTGCTTGCACATATAGGTTGAAAAATGTATTTTATAAGTTTGACTTGTACAAAGACGTATACCTAATCATGAGCCATGTCTTTTCTTGGATGAAGAGGTGGTATATTTCACTTTCTGCTCCAGAATCATTCAAGGATGAAGAGGTGATGTGGATCGGACTTACATTCACATTATAATTATTAATAATGTCTTCCTATTTAAGCTTCTCCAAGGCACTTTTCATCAATATGTAGACATATGTTTATTCTTTCCAATTTCCTCACATATATGTCTTTCTTAAGAAAAATGAAAAATTTCTTCTGCAAATTGAGTAATATCTGACTATTGATGTTGAAGGCATAATAACACCTGCCAAATCTAAATTATCCCACACTACAGCTCACATACATAAAGGTGACTTCTAGGAAAAGACAATACTATTACCTAATTATAAAGGATTACATATTATGCATACTGAACTCTCTCTGTAATCTCCAACAAAATCAATATCAATAACCATGGCATGTTAGACATTCAGTTTCTACTTTGCATATCTACCTTATGGTGTCTTTTCTGTTCTTATCTTTTTTAAATTCACACACACACTATGAAACTTCAAGCAGTATCTCCATGCATGAACTAATGCTTTTATAAGGAAATGGATGCACTCTACTCCAACAGTGTTTCTAAACAAAACTTGTCGGCAAGAGAAGTAGTATTCATATTAGACCAAAAGGTCAGGTAAAAGATCTATTGAACCTCTAGAAAGATTGCTTTTGTACTTTTGAGCAATAGTTGTTCTTATGAATCTATTGATATAAGGGTTTTCCTATATATACATATATATATATATATAACAGCACAGTCTTGTTGAAAACACACGAGGGAAGGCTATGTAGCAATGATGGGAATTCTAAAAGAGAATGACCATAGAATGCAATTCCAGATTGCTTAATTGCAGCATCTTATAGATCAGCTACATGGTAACCTAATAACGCTATTATAAAAATATTTCAATGCTCAATTGTACCATCAACTTTTGGTTACAAGGGCTCTTCTTTGACATGATTAAGCTGGAAGACAGACTCATACCAAAAGAAGCTGAGAATATTGTTATCTCGCTTGATAAATGATAAATAAACATAACCTAATAAAAGAAATGTTAACTTACTTACAAGTCCTACTATACAGGGAATATGATTTTACGTCTTTAATATGCTGATCTATGAAAAGTTATACATCTTTAATATTTTCATGTTAAAGAGTCTTCTGAATATTTATAATGCACGAGAAATTATACTATCCATGTACCAAAAGGAAAATCATGCTTTTGAAATGCATTCTCTTTCTTTGTAATGTAATATATCTTGAAGAGATTCAGAGGCTATATATTTGCCACTGGCCGTTAAAGTAGCACTAAACAAACAACCAGCTATATATCTTTTCTGATTTTGAGACTACATTTAGCACTTAGCACTGTCCTTGATTAGTTTTGCAGCTATATAAAGGGGAATAGAAGAAAAATAAACAAAAAAAGGTGCTGTTAAGAGTCGAAATGAAGATATTCCATTACAAAGAGGTAGCATTCATTCGAGGGTTTCGCTTACCTAATATTTTCAAATGTTTTTTAGACCGTTTTAAATGGTAATTATATCATCATTAAGCATTACTGCCAACTTTCCCTCGTTGACGTACAAATGGCAAAGTTATGATTACTAACGTCCTAAAGGCGCGAAAAAAAAAAACTGAATTTTGAATATCCAGTTTATACCTTTAGCGAAGAAAGCATACCTTGACAGGAAGAAGATGAAACAGTCGTACCCTTGGTAGTGCATATAGTAGTACAAGAGCAATTTCCCATCCTATATCATCAAAATTCAGCTAGTTAATCAATGTTATTAAGATGAAACACATGTCATTTATACACTTAAAATTCTGAACATATGGATAGTTTGCTTCAAATTATCAGTTCTAATTCACCATTGGATACATAAATTTAGTAGGTTGAGAATTAAAAATTGTACATTTGAGAATTAGGAAAAAGGTTAGATATCTGTTTTTGAGCATTTCCACCTCCTTGTTCAATGGCCTATACAAAAAATCATGTGAAAGCAAAATCAGTAAATGATATATCACTCAACCATGGCAGTCTACTGACTAGTATAAGTTGATTTAAAGCAATAGTCTAGGAATAGATGGAGAAATAAACTGTTGCATGATTGAAGATCTTCGAAGATCAGAACAGACTGATCATGGAAATTTATCAGACCTGTAAGATCATTAATAGATCAACATCTCATGAACAATGAACTCCAAGAAATGAAAAATTGTGAAACACAAAAAAAAATGACAAGGGGACATAAGGAAAGGATCCAAATGAATAGAAATCACTCAAAAAAAAAAAACCATTGTTTGTCTTGGATTTTCTTGTTTCAAAAGTCTCTTCTTGTTCCTTCCAGTTGTTGATTGAATTTCAATGCCAGTTTCTCCATTATTGACAGGGTTAGTGCTGGAATGTTCCTCTTGCACATGTGATCTGATAGTGTGATTAGAGGCATAGGATGAACATCCAAGCAGTCTGTGTGCTCTTGCCATTATAGACTGCCAATCAGTGTCCACCTCCTCTGGTGCTTCTCTAGCTGGTCCGTTACCAGGTGCAGGTAAAGAGGACACTTCCATTTCTTCTTTCTGAGATGGAACGTCCTCTGATGAGTCAACTGAGCTTGGTATGGTTGGAAATGAGGGAAATCTCTTTCTAATCCTCATTTTTGCAATTCAGACAGAACAGAAATAAAAATTTGTGTTGAAAAGACGTTATGGGTTCTTGCAGTAAAGTTTTGAGTTTGGTTTATGAATGTCACTAAGGAAAGTGAAATCAATTAAGGAATGGAATGTAAGAATGGGATAGAGTTCTCTGTGTCACTCTTTGCTGTTAATTATCTGAACTTATGGCTCCTTTATTCATTAATTATGAGTAACTGTCACAGCTCAGGCAGCCATCATTTGCAAACTAGGTTCATTTTCTCTCAATTCTTACAATATGATCACAAATTTATTTTAATTTGAGTGGGAACATTTTACTAATGTAAAGGAACACCATCCTGCAGTCTACTCCTATGAGACAAACGTTTGAATTTTTGGAATGCCCGAAAGACAGACAAATGGTAAGAAAGAGAGAGGGTTGGCTTTAGGCTTCATCTTATTGCATCCATGGCTTACATGTGTTTTATGATTCCAGGTTCATAATTTAATTATGAGTTACACATGATACTATTCAGTTGAAAATTAATTCACATTCAAGCTTAAAATCAGGTCCTAGTCAAATTTTCATGCTAATTATCTGTCAAATGAATTTCTTTTGTTCTTCAACATCTATCTGCAAAGTCTAAATATGGAAGAAAATCTGAAAAGATTCAAATCATTAATGCAAAAAATTAATCACAATCCAGCGTGTAAGGAAACTTCATCATAGTAGTTAAAGCACAGGCTCCCATTTTTGGAATGGACAGAATAGCATGCATTGGCTATACATATATAGAGCATATCTGTTTCTCATACCAAATGTGTTAAGACAGTTTAACAAAAAAGAAAGAAGCTGAAAAAGCATTAGGACTAATTATTATGAATTTCATGCTGGAAGATCACCATCTCAACAATGATGTATGAAGTATGAACTGCCTGTGTCATACCCATCCCGAAAGACAGAACCATTTATCACTTTTGTTCTAAAGGGGAACAACCATTGACAGATAATAACAAAGATTGTGTTTGTTAAGAAGAATAGTACCCCTCTCCTAATAATCATCTTTTCAATTTTTTCCCCCTTTACCTCGTATTTATTATTTTAACATTTATTAGAGCAATGCTACACCTTGAGCTATATTAGTGTAATCTAGACCTCAGGCTAAACTATTTGATTGTAGCAGTTGTTGGTATTTTCTTGCAAGACTTCATTTAACATATACAATGACTGCCTTCAAACACAACTTTCCTGAGGGTTCTAAATTACTTTTAGGGTCCAACCACAGGCAAAGTATCAAGTGCAAGATGAAGATAATTTCAAAAGAATTGAGAACTTAATATAAAACAAAAGCTTTGACTGCTTTCTGAAGAAAACTGCTGAAAACATTTATTATCTCCATATCCATGTAATAAGACAAAAATTATAAAATGTCTTATGTGCAACAAAAAGGATTCAACCCAACCTAAAGCATAAAAAGACAAAAAAGCGGGTTTGTTCCCTTTGCTTTTCTTTCTCTGCTGCTCATTTTTTGTATGCACAAAGCCAGCTATATTTCCTGCAGACTACTAAATTTTCTTGGGATTGTTCCTTAAAGGATTCTCTTATTATTTGGCAACTCTGAACCGCAACATTGTTGCTATCATACATTTGGTCTTCCTTTTCTAAAATTTTTTTGGATGGACATCATGATCATGTTTATGGTCAAAGTAATTATGGCAAATTCGGGTTTGAGGTTAGTGCCCCTGTTCAACTATTAGAACATTCTTGCTTTCTTAATCCTGGGACTAGTTGGTATCTCATAAGCGATAAAAATACTGCTTAAGCTTCATCATTTTATTTTTCTGACCCATCAGCACAATGCATTTGCAGCAAATAGAAGAATGTAACTCATGTTTATCAAACAAAAAAAAAAAACCAAAGAAAAACAAAGATCAAAGGTAATGCATAAACTCTGATTTTTATTTCACTCTGTTTCTTTCTCCATGACACCTCAGGTGCCATAGCATAAGGCTTACGACAACATATATTTCAGGAAAGAAAAAGACCATGAGGGCATGTACAATTTATTTATGACATTGTTACCAGAAGAACTCAACTAAGTCTCAATGTATACTCTTAAGGGCAAAATACTTAACTGTTACCATCAGACATATGTTAAGGGCAGTCAGGCAATCATCCAGCACAGCTCTTAATGTAATTTTTCACACCACTCAGTCATGTGCATCAGAAATGCAAATATGGCTCATAGCACATGTCTGAAAGCTATATTGGAAATTGTACAATCAGGTCAGTGCAAGGAAACCAAAATTTTGTTATGAGAATATGGAAAACCATATGATGGTTTTAAGAAAATTTATGTTCTGTGAGAGGATAAAAACAGGAACTGAACCAATTTTTTTTTTTCTGCATTAACACAAGCATCATTAAATCATTTGGCATGATATTAATATAAGCAGTACACTATTTATAACCAGGATAGCAAGTTCATTCTATTTTTCAAAAAAAAAAAAAAGCTCACTCTAAATTGTAACAAACTTAATGACACCTGAGAAGCCATGGGAAAACTAACTTTTTCATTGTTCTTATAGTTGATTGTCAATCACAGTTCCTAAGACTCAAGTACATTGAAGTTATTACCGGTATACTAAGCTGAGCATGAGAAATTTTATGATGGAATAAAGCACACAGTCACAAGGTAAATGCAGACTAACTCAAATTCTTCCTTGGCCTCCCTGTTTTAGGCATTTGTCTTTCTTCTTTTCTGCATAATCAAATTCTCATTACTATATATAATCTAATATAAAGATGATGAAGACAGAGAAATTCACATAGACATGAACACTACACAGATGCATAGCATTCACATGTAGGCATTGGTAAGTATATCCAAGAAACACACTAAACATTTCTGACCAGAAAAAATAAACAATTTAAACATGCATGCTGATAAGATGCACAAGTGGGAGATGTACCAATAGTTCCAATTGGTAGTGTGCTCTCCTCACTTTGGCAGCCTTCCTTGCTTGCCTAGAAACATTCTGTTCCTGAGAAAATCATTAGAAACAAAGGCATGCATCGGCAAATAACAAAAGCATACAACATCAAATTAAGAATAAGGGATTCAATATCAGTTGGGAACTAACCATTTTGTGTAGTATTCCTTAAAGTAATTGAGCCATTTTAAGTCTTTGGCATATATGTAATTTAAATCCTTCCAACACGCATAGAAGTTAGAATCAAATAATTTCTAAGGCTAGATGTTTTTCAGTTTGAACACCAGTTTTTTCGAGTGTTTCTTAACCATTTTATCTAATAGTTCCTTCTCGTTGCAAATTTGATGACTGCCAATTATATCCTATTTAAGAGACAATAGTACTTGAATAAGTTTCTTAACACTGAGAAAAAAAAAGGCTTAAATTTCACCAGAAGAATTACTTCTTCTGCACATGTATGGGTACTTACTCAATAGACCAGTTGGCATCTCCAGATTGATCACCTTCCTTCCTTTTCCCTCCCCTCTTGGCTTCTCCTTAAGCTCAGCAGCTGTATCCTCTAAGCCCATTCCTTCTGGAATTTTATGTCCGTCAAAGCCCTCATTGTCAGGGGGGATGAGGTATTCACAGTTTGTAGGACAACTTATAGTCCTAGTTCTCTTGGTGCCATTTTTGTCTTCTACATCTTCTTGCTTGGAAATTATTCTTGGCTCTATCTCTTTTTCTGGTATTGCATGTTCCTCTTTCTCTCTTGTCAACTCCATCTCCGGTTGGTAAGTTTGTTTTCTCATCTTGTAAGCAGTTTATTTTCTTCTTCTGACTTCTCCATACGTCGCAACAAATTAAGTTATAAGTACATGTAAATAGGAAAGTCTAATTTCCTACATTTCTGGGAAGTATCCTTTAGTCAATCATACCGATTTCGCATATCTAATTTTTCCTCTCCAATGCGTTAAGAACAGGGTTCAGTGTTCACTCTTGTACTTAAAATGCTAAAGATTCTAGCCCCCAAGGTTGATGATTGTTGAACCTAACATCAACTTGTAGACATGCTTGGCCCCAATTTTTGAAGCTTTTGAACGTGGGTGTACATAGTTGATTTTACTTATTAATTTATTATTGATATTAAATATATCTAAATAAATTTAAATAAATTTTTATTTTTTTATTACATTTAATAAAACTCTAATATTTTTATTTTTAGTCAAATAAGTCTTTATATTTTTGTTTCAAGTTAAATAAGTCCTTATGATGAATGGTTGATATAATCAAAATGTGATTTATCATTTTATGTCATGTAACATTCAAGTGACATGTTGACATGTCATAATAAATAATTATATACTACGCTGATGTGGCATAATTACATGACATGAGATATTTTTCACCCTCTACTCAATGTCACGTCAACATCATACGAGTATAAAATAACAAGTGACATTTTGATTAATGACAATTAGTTAATCATTAGTCATAAAAGCTTATTTGACTCAAAATAAAAGTATAGAGGCTTCATTGAACGCAATAGATGAATTAAAGCCTAATTGAATTTTCTTGAATAGTTCAAGAACTTATTTGAACATGATATCTATATTTTTTTTAACAGGTGTTTTACAATAACGATGTTATATAGAGACTAACAAAAACAACTACTTTACGCATATGGTAATAAAAGTAATCAAGAACAAGTGATAGCATCTATAGGTTAGTTTCACCTTAAGATGTTCTATTCTTTTTTCTCATACGTTTTCTCTCTTACTTTCTACTCAAAACCAAGTCTTATTACACTATTAATTATCATAAAACTAACTACTTCAATGGTGACATAATGGATTTCTAACATTACTCATTATATAGAATAAAACGCTACCTTAATATCAATATAATGGATTTTCTTAACCATTACCCATTATGTGCATTAAAGGTCTTTTCAATAATGTTACTTATGATATGCATTAAAGTCCATTCTTCAGTAATTGTTTCTTTTGCCTCTATATATAGAGTTTTGACAATTCATTTTAGGAAAAGAAGATTTCTTGAGCTAATGCAAACACATTTTTCACTTTTAGCTTTCCCTTTCAAATTCTCTTTGACTTAGCTCTTCTACACATTGTTCTCAACCTTGCTCGATTGTGTCACATCTCAAATCTGAGATCATAATCGACAAAGGATCTAATAAGAAAGTCCCACTCGACCCATGAAAGCTTTAGAAATACAAATAGAAACCAAGTATAAACTATAAAATCCATGGGACGCATCACCATGTACACATTAAAATTCAATTCCAAAAAATCCATATGCACCATTTCGTGCTCAATATTGAAAAATAGAAATACTTTTCAAAATAGTTGGAGTAATAAGCCTTTTTGTGGCCAAATCAAAGTGTAAATACTTAATACAAAGTATAAAATAGAGTTCAATAATCCTTTAATAGACAAACAAAGACAATATGGGCAGTATGGACGGTGGAGTACAACTTAAAAAAAATGGGTGACTACACTAGATGACTTTAGACCCCCTACCATAGAATAAAGTAGCTCCCTCCAAAGGAAAACAAGCCAAATAGACTATTGATCTTGAAGCAAAAAATGCATCTTACGTGTGTTAGTTATAAATAACTTCATGAGTAAATACAGGGAAGGGAAACAAGCTAACCGGACTAGTAGTTACAAAAATACATTTTTAGTAAAAAAATGTGAACATAAGTTCAAAACTCAAATATTTTCATATCTCGCTTTCAAAGTATGATCAAACCCAATTCTGAAGGTTATAAATGTACATAAAATCTTTGAAGAGCTTCCTTGAATATAACCAAGTCAAATGTATCTCAAAGTCCCTTTAAAAGAATGCAAATTTCAAAAATAAGCCTTAAGTTTCGAAATTTTAGAAATGCAAATCATCTATATCCACTTTTAAATTCAATCTCATGATTCATCAATCATAGTATGAAATCTCATCTACAAAACATTGAACTTTTGTAGAGTACTACTGAAGAAAAACTAACAGAAATAGAGGATAGAGTATCATCCCGACTATCTAGACAAACAACAAATGTTGAAACACCAATACGTATATAATATATACATATATATATAGTCTATTGTATCTAGCCACTTACTTTCAAATAATTAAAGGATAAGGTATCGTCCCCACTATCTAGAACATACAAAGGGTGTTGTCAAACCTATGTGGTCCGGTGCGTAAAGCAACTGATCATAAACCATACAGATCATTACGCATAATGGCTAGTGTCTATTGTTGCTAACCACAAATCCTTATCTTAATAGGCTCCAATAAAACATTTCCAAATTAGATTCATTTCAAATCGTTATAACAAAATGCATTGGGTGAAATCATTCACTTATACAATCCAAATGTTAAGACATAAATCCTCTAATGTCATCAATTCAATCTAAATTATCAAAACAAAGTGATCTGATGCTAAAGTCTTTTCAAAATTATTTTCATCATAAATATCTAATATTAGACATACTATCAATTAACATACAAATTCATAATTTTAAGATATCAAAACATTTAAAGTGCTTCTTCCCCATTCACAAATTAAATACATAATATGCATATTTACATAACATATACATATATTTCTTTAAACTCATTTAAACTTGTTAAGAGATGACAAATCCTTTTTCATAATCTATACTTCATCGAAATGAGATTTTCATAAGAAATTGTAGATAAGGCATGCTTAATTATATCAAAATAATTAAAACTATCATATTTACTTACCTTATCAAAGTGTGTCATTCCCTTTAGCAACTTTTGACAAAGAACTCAACCTTTCAAAGCCATTAAATGTTTTAACAGAAACTATCCATGTATAATGAATTATTAATACCTTTTTCCTTATTCATAACTTTCATAAATACCCATTTATCCTTCTACAAATTTCTTCAATCATTCTCTAACCTAAAATCAGTAACTACAATCTAATATAACTATGATTTTATATTTTAACTAGTTAGAGTTCTTATTTACTTTGTCAAGCTTGTGAAGACCAAAACCAATCAAAAACCTAAATTTTAGAGAGGAAAATAGATTTTTAGGAACCACAAATTCTGGAAATCAAAACCCAAAGATTAGATGTTTAAGATGCGGAAGCCTTACCTCAAAAAGTCTTTAAAATGAAAATTTAAACTCAAACATGAGTTTAAATGGTTTAAAATGCTTTAGAAAGGTGAAAAAAAATTAGAGAAAAAAGAGAGGCCAAGAATAGAGAGAGAAAGTGTAACAATGTCTGAGGGGGGTTTATATAGTTTTAGGGCATTATTTTATTTGTGAAAAGACCATATGTGAAACCACAACCCTTAATAACAGGTTAAAGTTGTAACTTACCTTGGTGAACGTGTAGATTTATGTTTTCTAATGATATTTTTGAACATATACAACCTAAAAATGGGTGTTTTCATTGTGAAATGAGTTTATTTTAAAGTTAGGGACTTAAAGAAGGTCAAATACTTTGGTTTTAGTCATGAAAACTACATTCTAAACCAAAAGTATCATTACCTATTCATAGGTAATACTTGAAACCCAAAAATGCATCTGTTGAATAAAGTATCGACACTTGTAAACCCAGAACAAAAGTATCAATACCTATTCCAAAAGTACCGATACTTCTATCGTAGATTGAAAAAAAGTAAGGATGATAATTCTATCATATAGAGTTATTTGGGTCTAATTTTGATAGTAATTTAGCTTAGTTATTGTAGTAATGCATAAAAATTACTAGGTTTTATTTAAATTATTTTGAATTAGTTAATTTAGGTTAGTCAATCTAATCTTAATTAATTTTATGCTTAAATTGTTGTTAATGTAATTAAGATAGGTTGTTATTGATTTATTTGTGCTTTTGTAGGTGTTTGATGAAAGAGGAATTTTAGTGGAAGGAGAAGAGCAATTTCAGGAGGTAGACTTCCACTGCATATACTTTAGTATTTTCACCATAAGTCTCTCTACGAAACTCCAAATGAGATGATTCTTAGACCGTTGGAAAGAGAAAAGAAAAAAATACAATTTCATATTTACTACTTCACCTAGTTTAGCATGGAATGTAGTCAAAAACTTATTGAAGTTGATGCACTGTAGCGGTCCTATAACAATTACGATTTCAACTATTTAAATGGTGTAGGCTACGGCTTTGGAGGTAGTAGGCCACAACCCACATAGTCTGATGAGGAAATCTTGATTGGAATTTGACTTCTTTCTTTACCCAACTTGACCTTATAAAAATAACCTTTTGAAGGACTTTTGAAAGGAAGAGAGGAAAAAACACTAGATTGACAAATGAGATTCAAGCCAAAAAATTATTGATAAAAAAAAGTCTCATTGGAGCTGAAAAGAAATTGAAGGATTCAAGAAGATTTGGAGATCAAGAGTTTCACTCTTGGAGTTTCTTTATTTTTTATTTTTCTTGGTTTAGTTTCAACATTTAAACTTTATTTGATGATGATGTGTGACTTGATAAGGAATTAAATTGTTTATCTAAGGTTATGATTGAACTCAATGTGTAGTCTGAATTATTGATCTCTATTTTACTTATGTTTGATGGATTTGGGTTGTTTATTTTATTCTATTCTCAATGCTTCTAATTGCTGATCACCAATTAGATTGAATTAGAAACTTAGGTTAAACCTTAACGAAGGAGATTTAGGTAGACCTTGAATAGAATAGAGTATGATCAAATGCACTTAGTTGATTAGGTAGTTTAATTTACATATAGGGTAGACATACACTTATAAGCCATACGTAACTAAAATTAGAGCACAAACTTAATGAATCTTTTTTAATTTAATTTGCATAGACATATAGTAAATTAATTAAGAGAGGTACTTTTATGAGAAACTCGACAGAGGTTTGTAAATAATTTAGGACTCTAAGTTAACAACTTAATCCATTAAACTAAGTTAAGAGAGAGAGAGACAATAATCAGATGAAGTATTGAGGGACATCATAATCTTAGGTCTAGTAGTTAAGTGAGTTTTATAAAATAAAATTACTATTTAATTGTAATTTTAATTTATTATTTTAATTTTTTTAAAATAATTTTAAATGTAATTGTTTGGATAAAATTAAGGTGTTACAAATTTAATAGTTAAGAATAAGAATTGATTCAATTCTCTATGAGATTGATATTTTACTCATTAATATATTATCTTTGCAATACGTATACTTATGTAGGTAGAAAATTGAACAACAAAGGATAAAATGAAATTTTTCCTAAAATTTTAAAGCCCTAAAACTCTAAATTTTTCATATGGATGCAATGAAAGTAACCCGGAACTAGTAGGGAGGGTTAATAGGTTAGTGTCACCATGCAATGTTCTACAAAGTTTTCCTTGGTTGCTTAGATATAAAAGTAGCTATTAGGTCTATTTTTTAATCTTTTCTTGAATCACAAGTGTTTCTCCCTCTTACTATGTTTTCTCATACCTTTTTCCTTTATACATTTTCCCTCTTTCTTTCTTCTCAAGAAATAATCTTAGTATAATATTAATGAATAATAACCACATAATGGGTTTTTAATCATTACTCATTATATACAATAAAACTACTATTATTTAGTAAATGTTACCTATTATGTACATTAAAACTCTTTTCAATAATGTTACTCATTGTGTACATTAAAGTCTATTCTTGAGTAACTATTTCTTTTGTCTTTAACTATAGAGCTTTGACAATTCATTTTAAGGGAATAATGTTTCTTAAGCTAGTGTAAACACACTTTTCACTCTTTGTTGCTCTTTTAAATTCTCTTTTACTTAATTCTTTTATGTCCTGTTCTTAATATTACTTTACCACTTACTTATTCTTTTTTACCTGCCACAACACTTAGTACTTCAGAGATTGCTCTAATCTTCCTTTATGTCACCTCCATCACATTTTTTTTACTTATTTACAGCAATACCTCTCTACTTATGACAAGAACCCTTCTACAGCCATTGTATGATTTGTCTAATGCTTATTATTTAGCAAGCTAGTGTCAGACAAGAGAATATGGAGTTTGTTGACTTGAAATCTTTATTTCTTTATTTCATTTCAGTTTACTTTGCTTGTAATATTTGCTTATTGTAATTTGTATTTGCATTCAATAATTGTACCAAATTCCTAAAAAAACTTGCTATTTTATTTTTAATTTGAAATGTAAGTGGCATAAGTAATGAAATTTTGTGCATTCCATTTGGCCGAGCAATTACATAAGCCTTCAATATTCTTTATTCTTAGTTCTCTATCTTTTAATCTTTGTGATTGTATAAACTTCTTACTTTAACATGCATCAGAGCATTGAAAGTCTTAAAGGACCTTTGTGAGTTGAAAATATGCAAGAACAACTACAAAGTAAGCACAAAATCACTTCCTTTCAAGCAGTTTTCTATTCCACCTTTTCTAATATGTCCTCCACGAATTTTACTACTCCTTCCCCTTCAATATTTTTTAAGAAAGTTATCTTATATGGGCTATTAAAATAAAAGCTTACTTGAGAGCTTTTGATCTATGGGAGGTAGTAGATATTGGAAGCGAACCACCTACCTCAAGAGCAAACCCAACCATAGTTCAAATAAAATAACACAATGAAGAAGTGACTAAATGATAAAAGACCTTATCTTGTGTCCATTTTGTTGTTTCTAATGTTATATTCACAAGAATCTTGACTTGTGAAACACCCAAAAAAGATTGGAATAAGTTGGAGCAAGAGTTTTAGAAAAGTGAAAGGACTAGCACTACAAAAAATAGGGAATTACCAATGAAATATTCCATCGATAATACCTTTGATTTCATCAGTAATGTGGTATATCGATGGAAACTTTCGTTCGCATAATTTTCATAGGTAATGAAAAATCTGTCAATAATGGAATTTTTCATCAGCAAGGGTACTGATCAAATATTCAGTCAGTATTTCTATCGGTAAAGGTTTTGATCCATTAGCCAATATGTTTGTTAGCAATTGGAGATATTCGTTGGTGATTTTCATTGGTAGTAATACTAACGGATGTAAATCTGTTCATAATCACTAACAGAATAAATCTATAGGTATTTTTCCAACTATTTTACCACTGAATTACCAATGGAACACCGATGGAGTCAGTTTTGAAGTTCAAAAGCCTTATTCATCATTAATGCCTTAGAATCCATCAGTAATCCATCAATATGTTTGTTATGCACTCTGTAGGTAATAAATGAATTTCATCTCTAATTTGATTGCTAACTGATGAACTCTGTTGGCAATGGATGAATTCCATTGGTAATTCCATCGATAATAAATGCTAAAATGATTTTTTTCTAAAAAAAATCATTTTTTTGCTTGTTCTATTAGTAATATAATTATTATATGATATTGTTATTGAAAAGCAAATATATATGTTCCTAAAAATATGAAAATGTAATACAAACCATAATCAATACAAATAAAAAAATTCTAATGTAAACATTCATGAAAAGTAAGAAATACAAAGAAGTATATAACACTCGATCATTGAGAACGTGGCTGTTTGTCTTGCTACTGCTGTAGTTGAGGCAAAAGAGTCAACTGCTGTGATAAGGAAGACGCGGAGGCATTTGAAGGCGTTAACCTCTCAACAATCACCTTCAACAAGTCATTAATATTGCTCGTCAACATTATTAAGTGATCAATGTTAGTAACTAATTATTAATAGCCCTCGGGCTTAGGCGTAAGACTCAAAGGAGTTTGTGCAACCTCAAGACCTCATGCAAACTTAGACATCGCTACATATATATATATATATATATCGAATATAAACACATATATTATCACTTACACTAACAACCTTGGACCTGTTGCCTATAAATTCTCTTGTACTTTTCTATCACTCGTGAGTACATTCGAAGAGTTTGAAGAATTTCATTTGTCTTTGCATCACCTCATATTACAATGACAAAAAGACAATAAAAATAAAAAGCACATCATTGCATGGTGTCGCAATTGTTAATGACATAAAGAACAACTAGTAAAGTAAATCATTTTTGTAGTACTACAATAAAAACATGTACCATTCTCTTATAGTGTATTGCAAAAGGTAAAAAGCCATCTATGTGTTTTGTTATTCTACCGTCTTTCTTTGTCAGGCAATTTTATTCGGCCTTGTGTGCATGTGCCTGCCACTCAAATGTGGACCATATATTATCAACTAACTGGTCCCATACCTCTACAGTGATCCAAGGTCATGGCTTACCCTTCGTTATTAGGATATCGACTTCAAGGTTACTTGTGTCCTTATTGGCCTTCTCGCATTTATCCCTTAATAGATCCTTGAAGCATTCTTCGTAAATCTTCTCCCATATGTTGTGGATGTCCATTACATCTAAAGTAGTCTATGCAAAAGATTTTTGCATTAAAAAAATATATATTAGTATGAAAATGATGATAGATATACAATAAGAATAAATCTTAATGTTACCTAGTATTTACGCCACATGTTCTAATGCTCTTGAGGAATATGCCTACAAGTTAGCTAAGATCCATTGAAGTTACTCGTGATTATCCTTGTTATGGTCAGAGTAACTCCAATCTCCTCAAAATTCCTAAAAAATAAATATATTGTCAATAAAAACGCATTAATGAACTTAATGCATATAATGATATAAACAAAAGTAGAAGAAATTATCTCCCTCTAAGAGGATACAAAGCATACATTCATACGAATGAATAAGAATGGGTAATCTGAAAGTGAGTGCTTAGGCCCTAGCTTGTGACAAATTGTTGGATATAAGAGCAGCATCTAGAGTAGAGTTTCTGATTAGAGTAGTTGAACTTAGCATCGGTACCTCTGGCTTTACAAGAGTATCTGCCACTGAAATGGAAGTCCAAGGTCTAGCAGAAAGATGTGGCATAACAAGTGGGGCATTGAAAGCCCAGCGACACTAGACTATCTTCGAGGGTCTACCTTTGTCTTTGGCTTAACCATGTTTGTGCAATGATAACTGAAAGATATAGAGTTATTTGGGCTTAATTTTGATAATAAATTAGCATAGTTCTTGTAGTAATACATAGAAATTAATAGATTTTATTTAATTATTTGAAATTAGTTATTTTAGGTGAGTCAATCTAATCTTAGTTAATTTTATGCTTAATTTTGGTGCTAATATAATTAAGATAGGTTGTTATTGATTTATTTGTGCTTTTGTAGGTGTTTGATGAAAAAAGAATTTTAATGAAAGAAGAAAAGCAATTTTAAGGTGCAAACTTTTACTGTACATGTTTCGGTATTTTGACTATAACTCTCTCGATAGGGCTCCATATGAAGCGATTCTTATACCATTGGAAATATAAGAGAAAAATCTACAACTTTCATGTTTAGCACTTCATAGAGTTCGGCCTGGAAGGTAGTCAAAACCCTTGTCAAATGTGATGTACTTTAGCAGTCCTAGAGCAATTATGATTTCTGGGCAAAGCTACGACTTATATAGTCGGATGAGGAAATCCTAGTTGAAATTGACTTCTTTCTTCACACAGCTAGACCTAACTTCAAAGCCTATAAAAATAACCTTTTGAAAGACTTTTAAAAAGGGAAAAAGAAAAAGAGAACAAAAACACCAAATTCATAATTGAGAGTCAGCCACAGAGTCATTGAAACTAAGAAGAATTTGAAGGATTCAAGGAGATTTGGAGATCAAGAATACAACTCTTGCGTTTTCCTATCTTTTCTTTTATTCTCTTATTTTCTTGGTTTTGTTTTTAATGTTTAAATTTTATTCGATGATAATGTGTGACTTCATGAGGAACTAAACTTTTTATCTAAGATTATGATTGAACTCAGTATGTAGTCTGAATTATTTATCTCTCTTTTACTTATGTTTGATAGATTTAAGTTATTTATTTTATTTTATTCTTAATGTTTCTAGCTTACTAGCCACCAATAAGATTGAATTGGAAGCCTAGGCTAAACCTTGACGAAAGAGATTTAGGTAGACCTTTAATATAATAACCTATGATCCAATACACTTAGTTGATTAGGTGATTTGATTTGATATAAGGTAGATATACACTTATAAGCTATACGTAACCAGGATTAAAGCACAAACTTAATAAATCTTTCTTCAATATAATTTGCATAGACATATAGTAAATTAATTGTGAGAGATATTTTTATAAGAAACTCGACAGAGACTTGTAAATAATTTAGGACTCTAGGTTAACAACTTAATCAATAAAAGAAAGTTGACAAAGAGAAACAATAATCAGGGGATATCATAATCTTAGGTCTGTTAATCATTCCATATCTGAGCCACCAAGCCAAACTCTCAAGAACATCCCAAGATGAAAATAACCTATAAATCATGTTACTTACTCTGAGTTGCTTTCACAGCTATCCGTGTGAAGTAGTTATCCTAATATTATTAGTTGTTCCACATGGAATAGTGCTACACTTATTCTAGTTGTTCTACGTGAAATAGTATTTCATTTGTTCTAATTATTCTACGTGAAGTATTACTTCACTTGATTTAGTTATTCTGTATGAAGTAGTGCTTCACTTGTAATGGTTATTCACATTATTCCTTATACAATATTATGCTTTAAAATTATTCTTTAGAGAATACTTATTAACCAAAATCAAGTATCTACATTTGCTATGCCCATAGAACCAAAACACAACACTGAAGTTTCTCATAACCATATGCACTATAAGATGAGCTCACTATAAACTCCAATTAAAGCGCCTTACAGTGTGGAGCAGTTGCAGCATTTCAGCTTTTGGCTACGTGCTCTGTTTGGGAAAAAAAATGTATAGCCTGTCTGAAGCCAAGTACTTTGCACTCCATTAAGAAAGATATCTAAAATTTTTATCACACCAAAGCTGCTATCATCTATTACTCCTACTGCAAAGCAATTACTTCACAGAACAAACTGAAGAGTAGGCTATGCTACAATGGTTGCAAGGTTCAAAGACTGTTGAAAAAAAATAATTAGGACACTCTCCATACAAATTGGTCAATCATAAGAGCTTCCAAACTTTCCCGTTTTGATATTCACCTGAGGAAGGAAGATGACTCCAAGGCTTTTTCCACCTCTAAGAATACTTTTATCATTGTTTTAGTATATTAGATGAAATATTGCCATGTTTTGCAGTTATACAAGTCTCCACTCTCCACCAAATAATTCTGTTCATTTTAACTGATTCATCTTAATTGCTTTTATGGTAACTAGAAGAAAGAACATTCCTTCACGTGACTTAAAAAGTATCATAACCAATGTCTAAATGGTGTTGCTGTACTTAGCAATGTCCCTTTCTAGTGCGCTTTTCTCAAGTTGAACATAATGCTTAGTGGTTCCTGCTTAATATCGAGGAGAAAGTATTTCGCTGTATGCCTTTTTTTCGTTTTTTTTTGAATTTTTATTTATTCTATGACATGAGAATTGTGTCTACAGAAAAGTGATTATTAATCAGATTAATAATGCCTTAAGTCCTGGGATGCGACCTTTCGATTAGATGAAACTTCAATGTAGTAGAGTTTGACTTTATCACTGGTCAAATCAAAATATATTCAATGGCATATGTTTCTAATATATTCTGTAGTTATTCTACTTGAGCTGTAATTTCTCATTATGAACTCAGGAAGAAGTTTAGCTATATCAGAATGTGCCTACACTTCAGTCAAATATCTTATGCATAGAATGGGCAGGTATGGGTAGGGGTCTTATACAGCCTAGCCCTTTCTCTTTAAACTAGAAAGCAAAACTATTTTCCCCCTTGGGACCGAACCTGGCGAAACAGAACAATTCCTAGTGCAGGACACCTCCACCATAAACGAAGATGGAAAACATATATATCTGATCATAAAGCAATCATTTCTTTGAATCAAGTACTGACAGAAAGCTGACATTGGAAGTTTGGGACAGGGAGAAACAATAAATCACAGCTGAGAGGATACTTACGATACTAGATGAGGAAATTGAACACTGGGGAAGGGAACATTGAACTGGAAAGACACTGTTGTGTGTCTGTGAGAGAGAGAGAGAGGGAGAGTCCACATACCCTTTAGGCTGTAAAGGTTTTATTCTCTACCTAAAAGGACCTTTAGCAGCATTATTGTTATTTGGAAGGTAACACGTGTAGTTGTGTTTACATTATCTGCCTCATGGATCATGTTACCTACAAACCTAAACAAAAAGGAATATAAGAGCACCAATCTGGTTTTGTTCGTCACATGTAAAGAAACTAGGAAGAACAAGAGTAAAGATGGTACAAATTACATCTTGCAATTTCGGCATAAAGTTTCACTGCAAAAAGAAATTAAATTACTTAGGCCAAAAGTAGCAGTGGAAAAACAAGAAAAACAAAAACACATAAACCATTAGCACAAAACTGGTGATCTTCTGAAACAAACTATACTATTTCGTTCTGATGTTTTATTTACAGGGACAGGGTTCTGTAAATACAGTTACATCTCACCTCTAAATCTACTGCAAAACAGGACTTGCAGGAAAAAGAAATAAATATTGAATAATTTATGGATACAGAGCAAGAAAAAAATTCCAAGATCCAACTTTCCTACCTATCAAAAGGTAAATTTAAGCAAACTGCAAAACTGTTGAAAGAGAATTGAGACTTGATTTCTCGTTCTTCCTTAAATCTCTTGACATAACACTGGAGTTACCTGTTTTGGGTGGGATTTGAAGCACTCGGCGGTGCTTTCCTTAAACTTGTCTCCACAGCTTTCTTTGGGTCTTGAATGGCTCTACTCAACTTGTTTAGATTCGCAGAAATAGAAGCAAAAGAACCTAGCAATCTCCTCGGTTGATTTCTAACTCTTGAATGAGTGTTGCTCCAACAGTGGAGGGACAGTGGAGAACAGATGAGTAAGTGAAAGAGTAGTAAGGCAAAAGCAGCAAACAAAGCTCTATGAATGGATTTCATATTGTTGTTCAGTTGGAGAAGAAATGTAACAGAGATGACTTCGACGCTAAGACATTCATAGGTATCTTCAGGAAAGGTGACCGTGCATGTGTTACATGTTGGTTCTTCTAAAGTCTTATACACAAGTGTAACATATACACATAGATGTAGATATAGATATATAACTAGAAAACTACGCCTTTCCTAATTAAAACCTGTTTTGAAGTTGAATATTCCTATCCTGGCTAGGTATCATGTCTTTAGACTAAATTGAATACCATAGCTATTTAACCAGGGTTATGACATATTTACCTTGTCTGGTTTCGAAAGGTAGATGGAACCTAGTTACAATCAGGTTCTGAAATAACTGAAGGAAAGATACTCATAAGCACAAAATCATTAGCAACACAGTTATAACCAAACATTAATTTGGATAAGAGAAAATTAATGACAGCAAAGTAGGTCAGTAAGGCTGTAAAATAATCATAAAGTGCATGTTGGGATTTCCACTAATAATACATAAGAATTTTATAGAAGCACAAATTTGACTGACCTTCAGTAACATCTTCTTGATTAGATATCTTATAATTCTTGTTCATTTTCTTTGTTGTTTAATGGGTTGGATCTTGGAAGCAGCTCATCATGTGATACTGAATTGAGTAGTACATTTCTCTGACTCTTCTGGAATACTCAAATATTAGATAACATGTGTCCTGTGACCTATCACATGAGACCAAATCAGTTGCATCATTTGTCTGCCCTACCCTGTTTATTAAATTAGGAATCATTTTTTTGTATCTCTATTAAGTGTAACAAAAACAGCCAAAGCTAGCTGGGTAATCCTGCTTTCTGCAAACAGTTATCTTCTAGGAAAATGCCCTGTTTACTCTTCTAGTTTTACCATCTGGGATTTGGGGTTCTACTAAGGATCTACATCTTTACTCATCAGTGACTTTTCTCACACATATAAGTAATCTTTTTCCTTGATTAAGTTTAGCAGGAACATGGTTTCAACTTGGTAACAATTTAAAGCACACAGCTGCCAGACATTATTAACAAACTAAAAGCATGTTGAAAAGATCTTTTTCTTTTCTAACTTTGGCAGGTTTCCTCCACACACCACACCCACCCCATTCTCCCCACCCCCCCCAAAAAAAAAAAACCTATATGATGCCCCATCACTGATTAGTCAGCAATCAAATAAAATAGAGAGAAAGACAGTTAACATAAACATTCCAGTCCCATCTCCTTAGGAATGGTCATGGTGATAGAATACGAAAGCCATTACTATAAGATCTGGTCAAAAGGACTCCCAAGAGTTGTAGTTGAAGGATCCCTATGAAAAGTAAGAACATGTGAATAGATTGGAAGAACCACGTTCATTTGTCAGAACCCGAGTAGACGTGACAGTATAGGCTTTCGAGTTAACCCACACTCTTATGTTGGTCAAATGGTACCAAATTTACTTGAGCAGTGTTTCATTCATGTGGGCAATATGATTTTCTGGAGTGAAACAACCTGGATCAAACACTAGTTGCATATAAGCTTAGGTTCCATTCCATGAGTTCTAATCCGATGGATTTGATTTCGAAGGGAGTTATCACATGACATAGTTGCAAGTACAAAATTCTAATTCATAATAAACAAATAAGCCTTGCTTTAACTACTTCAATTTTTAACTAATCTGATTCCTTTTTTAATATAAGTTTAATATAGATAAATCCAATGATAAATTGAATTTACAGCTTACAACCTAAAAACTTAAAAACTAAAAAACATCATATACTTGAAAACCAACAATTTTGATTAACTTTCTCCCATGAATATATTAATCAGAGGTTACATAGTGAAATCATTTCACGTACTATAAGTTACAACTCACTCAATTTCTTCATTATCGGACAATATCAAGGGACTCTCCTTCCATGTGATACTACTATAACCAAAAAGTCTTGCAAAACAAGAAATTAACTGCTCACGAATTACTTCTTCAGCAGGAAGCACAGCACCTGTCTCCCTTCTCAAAGATGTAACTTCTTTATCTCCAATCCCGCAAGGTACAATATGTTTAAAATACTTCAAGTCAGGATCAATGTTGAATGCCAACCCATGAGAGGTTACTCCATACGATATCCGGACACCAATTGCACCAATCTTTCTGTCTCCAACCCAAACCCCTGTCTCACCCTTTTGTCCAGCACAAGCTTTCACACCATACAAGGATGCTAATTCAATCATAGTTAACTCTAGTTTCTCTACATAATTCCTAGCACCAAGCCCAATTTCCCGAAGAGAAATAACAGGGTATAAGATGGCTTGACGAGGACCATGAAATGTAATGTCTCCTCCCCTTTGTGTATAATGAAGTTCAGCTCCTATTTGTTTCAATTCAGACACAGGTATTAACAAATTGTGATCAGTTCTCCGTTTGCCAAGGGTATATGTTGGAGGATGTTGCAGGGACAGGAGAGTATCTGGAATCTTACAAATTTTTCTATAAGATACCAGCTTCTCCTGCAGCTTAAGTGCATCCAAGTAGTTGACAACGCCCATCTTCCACACCTCAAGATTCCGTGGACTTCTCATTCCCTGTAGAATGCGACATGATTAACCACGTTTCCTTGATTCATCATTTCAACTATTGTGACACATCGAACTATCCAGTACAGAATAAAAAACTACTACTGGCACCATCTGATCCCAAAAGGGAGAGCAAAGGCAATTCTTCATATGCAACATTTAAGTTATTGTTTAATTTGTAAAACAGCCCAATGGAACAAATATTTTAGGCAATTAGAAAACAATAGGAGCATTGAAATGACCATAGTCAAGATAAATTAACAGATGCTTTAGGGCATCTGAAGTTCGAAGGAGCAATTTGATGTGATTGAACAAAACAAAAACAAAGATGAAAGTCAGAATGAAATCATCGTTGTGCAGGTCGCAGCAATTTCGGGTAAAAGTAAGAGAACAATGATTAGACGCTTAGCACATCTAAAACATAGTCTAGGGAGGTAAAGGCTTGTAGGAAAGAATTGAATAGAGCAACATGTTTAAGAAAGTAGAGCATTAAGGCGGAAACAGAACACCCCTTCCCTCCCCTCCCAAAGCTAGTTTGGAAATGAAAAGAGTTATGTCAAGTTGCATATGACAAGTGTTTCAACTGCAAAGAAACTTGCCACAAACAAAAGAGAGTAGTAAGCTTTAATATTACGACCATAGAGCGTCTCAATTTACGTTTGCCATTAACAAAAATGGAACTTTTAGGAGGTTATGGAAGTAACATTCAAACACCTTTCAATTCATTAGCAAACCCATCAAATGAAGAAGAAGAAAACTATGCCCAGAAATTCAGATTTGCTCTTACTTGACAACTCATTGAAGCATTTTCTCATACACTTGTACAAGTTTCAGCAAAACTGAATGTGGGTATCAAGAATTGGGGAGAAGAATTAGTGTTTTACACTATAACGCAAGAAATGACGAAATCAAATGAGAAGCAGCCAAAAAATTAAAAAGAACAAACCTTACCTACCTCCTATATTTGCAAAGCACAGTTATCAAAACTCTGAGGGAGATGATTTAAGCCTCTGCAATGACGCTCTCACACGGACGGAAGAGGCCACTCTGTTTCCGGATCTTGACATTTGTCATCATATAAAACCAATGGTTGAGCTTTCATGCATTAATTAAAATCAAGAGAATCCAAAAGGGTGCGGAATCAAGAGTTATTATCAATTTTAGACACATATAACAAGAGACGATTCCTCCAGTCTTCACAGTGTTCGTTTTATTTTTATATTTGTCTGTATGTCTGTCTATCGCTGGGTGATGCACCTCGCCTCTCTGCTCTGCTAGATCGTCAATTTGAGCGCTTTGACTTTGTAATAGCCAACGTGTCAAGATCTGATATATGGACTGGAGAGGAGAGGAGAGGAGAGGAGCTAGATCCAAATCCAAGATTTAAATTTGTAAACACACTACTGAAAATATAATAATATTAATTTACAAAGATTACCATTGTCTAGACATCAGGATGCCACATCAATAAGAGAGATAGAGATAGTCTTGAATTTATAAATGAAAATAAATCGAAATAAAAATATCAAGATTTAAGTAAAAAATGAAAATCAATTATACGTAATAAAATATCCTTGATCCCTTAAGCATATAAATAGGAACCTTCCTGCCTTCACCCAGTAGAGTGATCGCATAGGCACTCCGCTGAGAATATAATTTCAATTTATGCAGTCCAGTCCAAAAGCTAGGATAGTCAAATGTGACAATGATTAAGATGGAAAAGAACCACGAGGGGGTAAATGGAGCCTCCCACTTTGAGCGTCAAGGTTTCCTGGTAGGTTTTTTTTTTTCTTTTTTTCTCTAGTATACCATTACATCAAATGGGCAACAGATACAAGAAGCTGATGCCATGGCTATAGCATAGATACGCATTACAGAGTGAAGTGCATGCTGTCCCCACTGGGATACAAGCATTACTACACTTTATTGCATAAGGGGAGGAAAAGCTAAATAAAAAACTTTTCCACTATTATATACAAAGGTGCACTCTTCCTTTTTTTGGTATTTCTAAGTTTGTGTAACATGGCCAACTAATGAACTCATGAAGAACAAGACAGCATGCAAACACCAGGCCGATAAGCCCATGCTGGAGGCAAGCGTGCGTATTTTTCCATTCCCGGTTGCTCATCATATGGCCGCTCCATTACTTTTAGCAGCCTTCGCACCTCTCCAAAGTCACCAAGTTCAGCTGCATCAATAGCACTCTGACAAAGATAGTTCCTGAGAACATATTTAGGGTTCACTGAGTTCATTGAAGTTTTCCTCTCCTCGTCTGAGATGCCACTGGCAACAAGCTGCAGAAAAAAGATATCTTGTCAGATTTTCTGCAGTTGCTATAACAAATTGGAAAATGAGGAACACAACTTTGTTTACTTATCAACACCAGTTTGGCTACAATAACAGAAACTAATAAACTAGCATAATTACCAAATAGGCATATGGCAACCCTATAAACCCATTTTTGGAGTTTAAAAACTTCAACACCAGATTATAGGATAGTAATTCACACACACATCTCAGTGTGTATATATTCATGTGACCAAAATACTATTGTACCTCTTGTATATAGGATTGAACCCAACTGACCCATGCCTCCTTGCGTTCCTTGCCAATATCTAGCAGAACAGCCTTCAGTGGCACCAATAACTCATCTTCTGGAATACCAGGATCTGCTTTGATATTGGAAAGTGACCGAAAGAAATTCGTGTAATCCACTTTATCAACAGCCAAATTATTAAGAAGTCTATTGACAAGCTGTTTATTGTATTTTTGGAGGCCAAGCTTTTGGCTCATTATAGCTTGGTAATCATCCATAAATTTTGTCCCATACCTGCAACAAGATAATGTATAAGTGGTCTATAACAGAAGATTTTTAGCATTATTACAACGAAGCGAGAACTCAAAATTAGACATACCTTTCCATAGCATAGTTTGCTTCTTTATCATTTATCAAATGTGCAGCCATCAAAGTTGAGGCAAATTGTGCAATATTCCATAAGCCAATATCAGGCTGATTTGCAAAACAGTATCTTCTCCCAGGAAGATCTGTAGTATTTGGTGTGTAACTTGGGTCAAAAGCATCCAAAAATCCAAATGGACCATAATCAATGGTGAGACCCAAAATGCTCATGTTGTCAGTGTTCAGAACACCATGAGTAAAGCCAACTCCCTGCCATCTTGCAACCAAAGAAGCAGTCCGCTCACCAACCTCCACTATCCATGCTGATATGAACCAAAAGAGAAGTAAAAAATTAGAATTATTACCACTTAAATCATCAAATTTTACTACATTGCGTTCAATATGGACAAACTGCACTCAAGGCATACACAAGACATAACTAGTTGTCAACATTGCATTAAGGGGTACAAGGGGGATCGACTCATGTCCTGCACCACACTCAAAGCATACACAAGGCAAAACTAGTTGTCAACATTGCATTAAGGGGTGCAGGGAAGCACTCATGTCCTGCATACCACAGACAAATTCAACTCTCTATGTATCATTGAGCCAGTCACAAGGAAGTATAAATTTGTGAACATAAATCAAGACTAAAAATGTAAAATGTTTCCTTCTTGACCCAATTGTAAAGTTGGAACCCAGCAGAGTAAAGCTAGCCTGTCTCAATTGCTTCCCAACCAACAAGTCAAAACCATTAGGTCATAACACTAGAGAAAGGAGCACGTGTCATTCACCTAGATACACAAGTGAGCACTATGCAACAACAGTTCAGGCCTTCTTCCAGTATGTGGGATCAGCCATTGTGCTCTACACAAACTCTATAGACAGAAAACTTGGAATAGCCCTACAATTTTTGAATGTGACAAAGCTTACAGCCAACGGCAATACGAAATCATGTTTCATGGTCATTAGAGAAGTAAAAAGAAATCCACAAAAGACAGTAGTTGACAGAATGCAGAACCACAAAGAAAGAAAGGAGACCTACTAGACCCACAAACTAATTTTTCATCTATCCACCCTAATTTTGCCTAAACTACTTTCATATAGCTCATCAAGTTTACCATCATCTATACCACGTGTGGTAATGAATCCTATATATTTACCTGCATACTTGTTTGAAGTCAAATCCACAACTGAATGATCATCATCACCTGTGCTAAAAGACAAGCTCTCACTTTTACTTATGTTCTCGATATGAGGGAAGTGATGTCTGATGGCATAGTCCGCCAAACCACGAACAATGCCAAGGTCCTCTTCTCCCCTAGAAGCATGTATCTGGAATGAACCAAACCGCAGGAAGGACTGGGCAACTCTGCAAACAACTGCACCAGGTTCTTCCTTTGGATTGCCACTGCATTAGAAGGTTAAAAGAATTATAGTTGAAAATACACCCCACATATTTATCAAGTAGTATGCAGGAAATGTCCACTTAGCCAGTCATTATCTAAATCAAAACCCAGTGAACATACTCATAGAACATGTCTCGAGTTACAAATTTTCCAGTAGTCACAAGACAAAGGGCACGTGTAGTTGGGATTCCTAGAAAATGCATTGCTTCACTGCAAAGAAATTCGCGGATGCTACTTCGCAAGACTGCAAGCCCATCTGCAAATCGACTGTATGGGGTCTTCCCAGCTCCTTTAAGCTGCAATTCCCACCTTTCTAACTTAGAATTTAGAATCTCCCCAAGAGTAATTGCACGGCCGTCACCCAGCTGACCAGCCCACATTCCAAATTGATGCCCACCATAGCATTGAGCATATGGCACCCTGTCAAAGGGAATATCAATGAGGACCAGCAGGAGCATAACTAAGAAATAAGCTGATGGTAATAAAAGCTTTGTGACAAATACTTACGCTCCAGCCAAAGGAGAAGCCCCAGAAAATTTAAGGGGAAAATCTGGTCTTTCAAATCTGCAGCTCCAGTGAAGAGCTATATGGTTAATCCCTAGGATAACATGAAGCAATACAAAGGGATACAGAAAAAGGCAGTAAATAACAATCAAGACCAAGGCTTGAAAAATGAAAATTTCAAGAATATAGGAAATGACTTAATCCTATAAATTAAGGTTATGTTTAGTCAATAGGTTAATAGATAGAATAGGAGAGGACAAAATTATGAGTAAATTGTCTTCATTTACCTTGTTTTGGTGCACGCATAACGAGAAGACTTCAATTTATTTTACTTACTCCTAACCATATAGGAGTGTGCATATCGTATAGGTTGATTAATCCAACTAACTCTCAAATTCTTCTATCAGAGACTAGATAAAATAAAATGACAAATATAGCATGAAATAAGACATCATCCCATGCATGAAACAAGCCTTAAAAGAAAACATGCATTTCAGCATTTTTACAGATAAATATCAAAGCACAAACAAATGTAGACATGGCAAGTTAAAAAGACATCCTTGTAAATCAGAATATTGCCATATGATCATCATAGCTATACAAATAATGCCCCCCCCCCCCCCCCCCCCACCTTTCCCCTTCTTTTTAGTTTTCAATCAAATGCTAGAAGTTGAACATTCCAAGAATATCCAACATCAATAACGAAAAGAGTTTAAGGCATGGTGAAAATTTGAAAATAGAAAAATCTCTGACAGTTTCCATGATACTCAGGAAATGTATATTCCAAAGACATTTCAAGTTCTCACATGGAAGATCTTAACAACAGTATATCAGAAACCCAAGGAGTACACATGGAAGCAAATGCCCGCATGTTTTTTCTAGGAAGTAACATTTCAGCTAGGGAAATTGAAACTAACATTTCACTCACTACTTCTAATCCTGCACCCACAATATACATAATAACGCTAAATAAAGATTGCTTAGATGCCCATCAACATTCATTCGCTCATGCTTTTTAAAATCACAGTGTAATGCAATGCTTACTCTTTAGGATTCAAATCAAGCAAATCAGCCACTGAGTCTGACCAGGCAACAAGCTTTGGATTCTCTACTTCAGCTGATGGCAAAACTTTCGTATAACAGGCGTGTAAAACCTGCAAAATCATCATAAAAATCTTTAAAAAAAGCTTATTTCAAATTATACAAATCAAAGATTCAACCTTGTCATTTCTCGCTCTTTAATCACTAGATAAAGATCCATTTTTTTTTCCTTTTTCCATTCTTATGAACTAAAACCATTAACAAATTTGCGATTTTAACTAGTAGTTTAATTTTAATAAAATACAGGAAAAAAATACAGGAAAAATCTCCTTATTTTAAAAAACAATATACTTCCAATAATTTCCTATTAAATCAAGAAAAATAGCATAAAATTAAAACGTGCAAAAGAAAATAAAATGAAGTTAGAAAAATAACCTGACGTGGTATTGAATCACTTCTAGGGTCACCAGGGAGCTCTCTAACGAAGGAATGGTCCCAATTCAGATCTTCAAGGCCTAATTTGACATTTTTGTTTTTAATTTTGTTGTTGATATTATCATTATCTCGCTCTGTTAAGCTTTGATTTTTCAAACCCTCGGCTATAGAGTCGACGGAGAGGGAAGAAGGGGGGTCGGGTGAAGGCGAGTCCATGCGAAGGCTGCCGCCGGTGGAGAGGTGGCATGCAAGGGAGAGGCGGGTTTGAGGAAAAGGGGAGGGCTTGAAGGGAATTTAGGGGAAGAGCGAAGGAAGGCGCGGAGGCAAAGAGAAGTGAAAGAGGAAGAAGCGAGTGAGAGGAGCGGTGATATCGGAGAGAAATGAAATATCATTTTTTCCTTTTTCTTTTTTTGATAAAATAAAAATTATGGTCAGGGGTTAGAAAAGGTTAGAGAGAGGGCGGTTGGTTAGTCGGTCCAATACGTGACCAAAGCATCTCACATACAACTGACCACATGTTTCTAAGTTGACCCAACCCAACAACAAAACAATCCCCTCAGTTGGGAACCCCATGCTTCTTTTCAAAATTATTCACTTAAACTTTATTGAATTTGCACGATTTTATTTTATTTTTCAATTTATCATATTGGATCACTTGAGCCTACTAAATTTGGGCTTTACTTACTATGGGTTTAGTATATTCATTGAAACATTGGGGTTCGTGTGATTCAAGTCTGCACTGTGAACCAAAATTTATCTTTTTTTTTAATAAATTTAAATTAAAATTAATGTGTTTATTTAGATGATTAATTGTAACTAAATAAGAAAAATACTGATTGCGACTTCTTCATTATCAGATGAATATATTATTGAATTTGGTACTTTAGGTCGAGAGGTAAAGTAAGTGCCACGTAACCTCAATTAATGAGTTTTATTTTATTTTAATATATTTTAATTTAGAACTTAATTTATTGTTCATGATCTTTATCTCTATTTTAAGTTTTTTACCTCAAAAAATGCATTGCCTCTTATAAATCTAAATACCAAATAACAAAAAAAAAAGAGAAAAAGGAAAACGAGACGTATGGCATTTGAAATGGTTAACTATATTACTAAATTAAGTAAGAAAATTAAGCAAGAATTAAAAGTTTCAAAAATCCGAGCTGTCATGTAATTGCTCTTGCAATCTAAGATGAAAATTTTAAGAATTTGATAAATTCTTGCAGCAGAAGTGTGGTGAGTTTGCATCAGGTATGTCTTAAGTTCTAAATCTTTATGAATTGAGTATAATATTTAAAAAAGTTCATAAAGTATTTAAAAAAATTTAAATAAAATTTTTTTATTATGTTCATGTTAGGAATTTGTCAAATTCTGTCTACCTTACTAAATACTGTCTATCTTGTCAAAATTTTTACCTATTGCCAAATACTATCTATCTTGCCATCTAACTCTTTCTCGTTATCCAAAAAGCAAAAATGGCATCAAAATATGTGTTTTAGGTTCTTGGATTTATTAGTTTATATTCATAGAACCCCAGAATTAAGGGGTTGAAATTAATTAGACATGTTCGTAAATGTAAACATTGTATAACTTTGGTAACTTAAACCTGACTGGGAACAAGTAAATTAATTAGTTATTAGATATTGCATTACTAGTTTTAAACATTGTGTCACTGATTTTTAGGTATTGTGATACTGATTTTTAAGTAATGTGACTTATTATTGTGTCTTTAGTTTTTAGACATTGCATGACTGGTTTTTAAGTATTGTGTAACTAGGTTGTAGGTATTGCATGATTGATTTTTAGACAATGCCTAAGTCATACAATGTCCAAAAACCAGTCACGCAATACCTATCAATCAATCACGTAATACCATATGAACCAGTCACGTAATACTTAAAAATTAGTCAAATAATGCCTATCAATCAGTCATGCAATGTTAAATCAACCAGTTACGCAATATCTAAAAACTAGTCATGTAATGTTTAAAAACTAGTCACGTAATACCTAAAAACTTATTACATAATGCTTAAAAACCACCAAAACTATTGAATTTCATTTAACAAAATCAATAATTTTAAACAACACATCATATTTCATTTAACAATACAATCAACAAGTATACTTACTTGGCAAAAAATACTCAAAATGCTCAAAGGTTTTTCTTCCTGTATCAAAAACACTCTAAAATGCTTAAAATGCTCAAAGCGCTCTAAGGTTTGTCTTCGTGTATCACAAATCACTATAAAATGTTCAAAATGCTTAAAGGTTTTTCTTTCTAGTAACGAATACTTCGAGATGAATGGTTTGGCGAGGAAAGCTCAAAGGTTATGAGTCGATTTGAGGCAAAGACTTAAACATATAGGTCGGTTTCATTAATGGTAACTTTATTTAAAATTAATTTCTCTTGGCTAAAAATAGTTAAATTATAAATAGGGCTATTTTCAAAAACACCTTATTTATGAGGGGTATTTTTGAAAAGAACCCTTTCACCTTTTGTTATTGGACGGTTATGAGGGTTTACAGCATAAGGTTTACAATTGGACAACTAATTTAAATATTAATATTGGATCATTTCTTGTAATTATAGTTACTCCAAAAATGCAACCATAAATCTATGATGAAGTGATTTCATAGTTAATAAACTTGAATTATCTTAATGAGATTAACAATAATTCTAAGTTTATTGACGTTTAGAATAGTTACGTCTAAATAGGTTCCCCACTTAGCTCCGTAGAATTCAATTTGTTTAAGTTGAAATGCATACATTTTTAATTAATTAAATTAATGTTCAAAAATGGTAACTTTACATATTGTCTTAATTAAGACAAGAGTTGTCTTAAATTAGACAATAGTATATGTGTTAATTTAAGACAAAAAATGTTTTAATTATATTATTTCATTTTTGGTAAGTCAAAAACTTATCTTAATGAATAAATATTTTTTTAAGGTAAGAGTTGTTTTAAAATGAAAAATATTTATTAAAATAACTATTATCTTAAAATAAAATAATATTGAAGGATTTTAATTATAATTAAAGAATTAAATAATTTATTCTTTATTTATAATTAATTATAATTTCTTGACAAATTATAAGACTCCATGTTTGACAAGGATTTCTTTATTTTATTATTAATTTGTTCTAATTAAAAATGGATAATAACAATACAAAATAATTATTCAATAAGAAATCCTATTTTGACATGAACAAATAATTGTTAGCTATACGATTGATCCTTGTTTTAATATGACAAAAGCTAATGATAAAAATATTGAATGCTTGATGCATTAGGACTTAATGAAAAATCCCTATGCTATTGATTGACAAATAGGCTATGCATTTCAAGATTAATTATGTGTTTTAAGGCTTAAACTAAGTTGTAATGTTAAGACCTCGGAAAAGAGTATCGAGACTTATATGTCTCATGTGCCTGAGGAAACATCCTACGTATAAAGGCGTATCAGTATAATTTGGACGGTATCGACATTCCACTAAATAAGAGTCATTTTTCCAAAGAACGTGTACTGAAGTATTGAGAACAGGAATAAAATATCAAGACAACTATTTAGAAAAGTAGAATTTTAGAGAGCAAGACCAAATGCATCGAGACACACATCTCAAGAATCAAGCCTTGCTTTCAATCTTCAGAATCTAGTGAAAAAGTTTGAATGTATCGAGATAGAAGACTTCAAGTACCGAGACTTCACCTTAAGACTTCAAGAGTAAATGTCCAAGTGCTTGACATTAAAATTGGGTTCAAAAAGAAGAATTTTTCTATATATCAAGACAAAGGTATAGAGATATCAAAATGAGGTATGGAGACATTTCACAGAGTCTTGATACTTTGTTTCAAAATCTTAATACTTGGTTTCAAAGTCTTGATACCTAATTTCAAAATCTTGATATTAGGCGCAATGTATAGAGACTTGGTTTCAAAGTCTTAATACTTCACCATTAGATTTTAAATTCCAGAGAGCAAAAGTTAAAGTATCAAGATGTCTTTGGAGGGTATCAATACCTCATTTCATAAAACTAGAAAAAGACAAGAATAATGGTTAATTTCTACATCAAATCATCCTCAACAGCTATAAAGCTTCTCCAACGTCTACAAGCTTCTCCAACAATAAAAAGGACTTCTCAAGCACATTTAAAAGGTAAGGAAAGTTAAGAAAGAGATCATTTGACCTAGAATCAAATGAAAAAAAAAAAGAGGAAAAAGAAAGAAAAACCAAGCTAAAGCAACCACTCATATTCTTCCAAAAGCTTGTGAGCTATATTTGGGCTTCCACTCCTTTGTGCTTTCATTCATATCTTTTGTAATCATTTTTTAGCTTTACCAAACTCTTCCTTCATTTACTCACCTAGCCAAATTAGCCTTTTAGAATCATATGTGAGCTTTAATGTTGTAAAAGAAAAAAGGTTATGCTTGAACCTTTAGAAGGCTAAGGTCTGTTTGATCCTTGAAAAGACTAAGGTTATGTCTACTCCTTGAAAAGGCATTGTGTTGATTATCCCTACTCTCGTGAAAAGGTAGTGTGTGGGTTGTGCTTGATCTGGTGAAATGGTAGTGCAAGGTTATGCTTAATCCTTTCCTAAAGGCAATGTGTAAAAGTTATGCTTGACCTTTGAAAACGTAATCTTCATAGTAGATTGAAAACACCTTGGTTAGCCAAGGAAGAGGATATAGGCGCTTAGGGAAAAGGCTGAACCTCTATAAATAGTTTGTCTTTTCTCTTTTCCTCTTAAACTTGTTCTTTATCTCTTTACTCTTCACTATTTCTCACTTATGGATTTTTACTTTGCTGTGAAGAGGTTTGAACAATTGTTTTTGATCTTGCTTATTTCGTTTTAAAAAAACTTTTTAAATCTACTATCAGCTCTTTTCTTTTTTACTTGGAAATTATGCTTTTTGTCTTAATGTGAAGATATGTGAATATTTGTCTTCAAAATTGTTTCATTTCAATGAACTCTTCAAATCACTTTTGATTTACCTTAATAAATATCTTAGTTTACTTTTCTTTGAAGAGTTTTGAGAATCCACTTCCAACCTACTTGATCATTTACGTTTTAAATTGGTCGTGATATGTTTTAAAGAGAGAGCAAGTTTGTAAATCTTTTTTCTTCTTGAGCTTGTGTTCTTATCATGAAAAATGTTTTAGAAATTTGTTCAAAGCTCACTTACTTTTCATCTTTATATTTGAGCATTTCACTTCACCATGAAAAGTATTGAAAATTTGTTTTCAGCTTATTTGTTCATTTCCCTTGGTTTGTTTTAAAGTGAAAACAAATTTTGAAAACCTGTCATCAAGCTCAAAAGCTCAAGTTGTTTAAAATAATTTTTTAAATCCAATTCATCTTCCTCTTAGATATTCCCACATCCTTTTTATTGAG